TTTGTCTAGCAGTTAGGGCCCAGAGTAAGTGACCTAGATTTATCAAGCAGACAGCCAGCAAGATTTGGAAACAGAAGGAGGCTTCAGGCAGAAACCATCTTCTGGCAAGGCTGGCAGGTGAGCTGTCTGGCTTTCAGATTTACACAGCGGTAAGGAAAAGGAAGAAAAAGATGGCGGATTGCTGGCACCCAGCACCTAACATGTTTCCCATGTTTAGGTATACCCACTAAATGGCAATGGCTGTGGGGTCTCTGCTACGGTTGCCCACTTCCTGATGTAGGCATTTCTCCTGTCAGTGAAGCTTCCGTTCAAGAATTCTAGGAAGACCTAATGTCACCAACTAAGCTCCCTATTAGCCTTGGAAGCCTAAAGCAATCCTATAGTTTACAGCCAGACTATTTTTTGCATTCTCATGTGTGTGGGGGGGGGTCAGAGGACATCTTGTGGTAGTCATTTCTCTCCTTGTTCCATGTGGGATCTGAGGATCAAACTCGGGTTGTCAGACTTGTGGCAAACACATTTACTCACTGATCCATCCTGTTGGCAAAATTCTTAAGCAACAGCCTAACACAAGTGTTATAGTTTGGCTTTGGAATGTCTTTGCAAAGGCCCATGTGCTAAAGCAAGCTCTATAATCCCTGGAAGTATTAGGAGAAACCTTTAAGAAATAGAGCTGACTGGAGTAGGTCTTTGGAAGGAGGGTTGTCCTTGAAGAGACTACCAGGGACCCAGCCCCGGCCTTTCTCTCCCTTTGATGACTGAATGTAGTTGAGCAGTCTTCTTCTGCCACCTGCCACCTGCCACCTGCCACCCACCATGATATACTGTGCCATCTTGGGCCTAAAGTAGCAGAGTCAAGTAACCAGGGACAGATACCTCTGAAATGCTGAGTGCAAAGCAACCCTTCATCCTTCTTGGGTATTTGGTACAGAAATGTAAAGCTAACACAACCAGCCCCCTTTGTAGTAGGCTCCCTCCTCTTTGTCCCTGAGGAGCTGTGAACACTTCACCTTGCCCAAGAAAATAAGCTAAGTTCAGAACCAAAAGAAAATTCCTCCCTATCCTTTGCCAGAAAGTCTGCAAGAGTGAACTGAGAGGGTCAGGGCAATCCTGGCTTTTCTGTCTCCAGATGGAAGGTGGTGTCTCTCAGAATCAGCAGTGACGATTCCAAAACAAATCTCCTTGACTGTTCTGAGCTGAGTTCCATGGGAAATCCTTGGCCAGAAAAGCCCATTTGCCCAATTAAAATAAAGATTACAGTCTGTGAGAACAGAAAGTCAACTCATTTGTCTGTTGCTTAGCAATGTCTCCTCTCACAGCAGTATTTTGGGGACATATCCATCTGGAAATCAGAAGTGATTTCAGTGTTTTTCTCCTGGTCTAAGGAATAGCCAGGGGAGGACAAGAAATGCTCGAGATGGGCCTGGCATAGTCTGAGGTGAGGCTTTCCAAAACATTCCTTCTTCAGGTCTGGACCCTGAGGACATGTTCTTCTTCCCTAGTTCTCTCATACACTTTGGGTCTTCGGGGCTAACTCTCCCCCCACTTTCTCATTCTGCTCCCTTGTTTTGGTGTAGCCCTGGCTGTCCTGGAACTCACTCTGTAGGCCAGGCTGGCCTCAAACTCAGAGATCCTCCTGCCTCAGCCTCTGAGTGCTGGAATTAAAGGTGTGCACCACAACTGCCTGGCTTTTTTTTTAATTCTTCTCTCATACAGTAATCCCCACCACAACTTCCCCTCCCTCTCTTCCTCCCAGTTCCCCTCCCCTCCCCCAATCCACTCTCTGCCTCCATGTCTCCCCCCAGAAAAGAGCAAGCCTCCCAGGGACATCAACTAAATACAGCATAATAAGATACAAGACCACATAGACTTTGGGGAGCCCCTTTTGAGGGCCTTACCTTGCCTGGGGAGTGGAGGGGGGATGGCTAGGGGCAGGTGGGATGTTGGGGTGAGGGGAGGGAGAGGGAGAAGGGATTGACATGTGAAACAAGCTTGTTCCTAATTTGAACTAATAAAAGAATAAAATAAAAAAAAGATACAAGACCACAAACCTTCTCATCGGGGTCCTAAAAGCAGGGAAAAGAATCAGAGACATTCCCACTGGCGCTGGAGTCCCCCAGAAACACCAAGCCAACAACTATAACATAGCCAGAGGAGCTAGCGAAGATCCGTGCAGGCTCCGTACTGCTGCTTCAGTCTCTGTGTGCCCTTCCCTTTAAGCTTCAGACAGAATATCCCGTCATCACTTGGGTCCCCTGTCTGTATAGTGTGGACAGCTATGAGGAACAGGTGCACTGTGGTGCTTTGGACAGCTGGGAAGGCACTGGGCCAAGCCAGCAGTGGACTCCACAAGGCACTTGTCACAGGATTAAAGCTCATCAAGGAACAAATCCCTCAGAAGCAAGTGCAAATATGCCCCAGAATAGGAAGCAAAACACCAGGTGCTGAAGGCTTGGTCCCCAGCCTGTGACACCATGGAAAGCAGCGAAGCCTTTCAAAGACCACAGGGCATGTGCTATCATGAAGGGACACTAGGTCTTTAGCACACATACCCCTTCCTAGCTACCATGAAGTGAGTAGCTTGGCTCCACCCTGTGTCCCCCATGATCATAGTCTTCTTTTCCACAGCCCCAAAGCAATACATTCACAAACTGGAACCTCTGAAGGCATGCAACAAACCCTCTCCTCCTCAGCACTTATTTAGCTCGGGAATTTTTGCCACAGCAATGAAAGCTAGCTGACTGGCACATCAGGTATCGGAATATTGAAGCTATCACTATGGAGAGACTGCAAAGGGTGTAGGATGGTCCAGCCAGGGCTGAATCGAATCCCATGGGGAGTTGTTCTTTTTTTTTTTTTTAACTCGCAGTGCCTAAGCCAATTATAACAAGGGTGAACCCCAGCATTAGTGTGCTTTTCTGTTGTCTGTTTTATTGTCAATGCTAGGCATGGAACCCAAGGCCTTGTGCATATTAGAAAACACTCTGCCTCTTAGATGCTACAGCCACACACACAGGCCTTGTTTTGTTGTTGTTGTTGTTTGGTTTTGTTTTTGAGCCAAGGCCTTGTTATATAGTTCAGGTGGGCCTGGAACTCACAGTGTAGCCCAGGCTACCCTTGAATCTGTGTCCCTCCCATCTCCACCTGCCAAGTGCTGGGATCACAGGCATGCACAATTGTGCTTTGATGGAACATTGGTGTTTGTAAGGTTCCACAGCTTGGGCTGGGTGACAGTACAGTCTATATAGTACAGGGATTACTGTATGAGAGTAGATTTTTTTTTTTAGAAAAGCCAGGCAGTTGTGGTGCACACCCAGAAGCCACATAAAGAAGAGCAGAACAGCTCGCACCTATAATCCCAGAACTGGGGAGGCTGATCTGTAGAGTTCACTAGTTACCCAGACTAGTTTACTTGGCAAGTTCCAGGCCAGTGAAAAACCCTGTCTCAAAAAGCAATGACAGTTCCTGAGGATGACATCCAAGATTGTCCTCTAGTCTCCTCATGCACACACACACACACACACACACACACACACACACACACACACACACACACACACACCAAGCAAATACAGCCCACGGGTGATCCAATGTGAAACCAAAACAAGAGTCTTTGAGGACTTTGTACAAATGGGATCCATCTGTGTTGTGCAAATGTTGTAGTGAGCTAGGTGTTGGGGCACACACCTGTAATCCTAGCACTCAGAAGGCTGAAGCAGGAAGGCCAAGATTTCAAGGCCAATCGGACCTACATAGTAAGACCTTACCTCTAAAGAAAGAGAGAAAGTGCCAAGGTGTAGCATGGAATAAGTGGCCTAGCTATGTCTCTCATGGGTGGATAAACAAAGGAATTGAGAGCGGATATGCATAAAAATTCATGGCAGCATTGTGAACACTAGCCAAAAAAAGACTACTAGTGACTATGAACCAACAAATGGGTAAGTAAACATGGCATGCAGTACACTGGAATATCCCACCTTAAAAATAAAAGTGATGGGCACATGCCAAATGTAGATGAAGGATGAATTTCAAAACCATGCGAACTGAGCTTCACAGCACAGGTCAGTTATCTCAGATACTCAGGCAGAAAAAAAGCTCTGAATCCAGCCTGGTCTATAGAGTGAGTTCCAAGACAAATAGGACTATGTAGAGAGACTCTGTCCCAAAACACTAAAGAGGAAAAAAATCAAAAAGAGTCCTGGGGTATAGGTTGGTGATAGAGGACTTACAGAGCATGTGTGAGGCCCTAGGTCCAATCCCCAGAACTGCAAAACAAATTATGCTTGGTGAAATGAGGTAGTCACACAGGGGCACATATCATATTACCTCCATTTGCAGGAAATGTCCAGAACAGGCAAATTCATAAAGACAAAAGGCAGCTTAGTGGTTGCCAGGGGCTGAGAAAAGGGACAAACTGTGAGTAACTGCTTGATAACGGCACAAAATTTCTACACTTCTGGACAGTGCAAAGCATGTGGGGACTAGATAAAAGTGATAGTTGCACAATGTCGTGATTGTGCCAAATGTCACAGTTTAAAGGAGTGGAACAATTTGTGTGAATTTTACATCAATTTATATTTTTAAAAAAAGGTTACAAGGTGGCCCTAAATCTGGGCAAACACCAGAAAGGAACTCTGAGTTTGTGACCTGGTGAGATGGACAGGCCAGCTCCAAGCTCCGTGGAAGCATTGCTGGCCAAGCCTGAGTGCCCCACAGAATGTTGTCTGCTGTTTTAATGTGGACCAGCTGGGGAGCTTTTCTCTGGAGGCACTAGGCTCTGCAAATATGTGTTTTCCCCCCTGGGGTTTGCTAGGGGAACGGTTACTCATGGAGTTTCCAACCACAGGCTGAGCTTGAAATATTTTTTCTTTTCATTGTTTGAAAAAGGCTTGTGCCTCGCAAAACTAAAATAGTATGGGAAAATGTGGTGTGGTTTCTGGTTTCAGCAGAATTTATTTAGCCGCTTTGGCTCTAGAAATCATTCTCTTCCCATTCCTGGCAAATGCTTCCCCAATTGCTCCTCCAGCTAAGCCTCGTGCTAAGCTTTCAAAACAGAACTAACTGGGGTAGACAGAAATGCAATAGGGGGCACCCTGCCATGGCCTCTGGCCCCAGATGACCCCAGAACTTTCTTCTTGCACCATGCAGGTACCTTTTGTGACAAGAAGAAAAGGAAGGAGCTGAAGACATGGCTCAGCAGTTAAGTCTTTTACGAAAGCCAAATTGGAGAACCTTGTAATCCGGCAAATCCACTCAAAACATATGAAACTGACTGGGTACCAAAAGAAAATAGGAAAGAAAGAAATCAGTGTGGTGATGACGGGTACAGGGCTTTTTCTTTCTTCTTTATTATTTTTGTTGTATGTATGCAGTTGTTTTGCCTGCATTTATGTCTCTGCTCCAATTTTGTGTGGTACCTGTAGAGGCCAGAATCGGGCATCATGTGTGAGCCACCATGTGGGTGCTGGGAATCAAACCCAGGTCCTCTGCAAGAGCAACAAGTGCTCTTAACCACTGAGCCATCTCTCCAGTCCCTCCCCCTTTTTTTCTTTTTACTTATTTTTGAGATGAAGTCTCATGTAGCCCGGGCTGACCTTGACTTATTTATTGTAGCCAACGGTGGCCTTAAACTCCTGATCCTGATGCTCCTGCCTCTATCTCTAGAGTGCTGGGTTTATATGCACGTGTCACCATGCCCAGCTCACGTGGTGGGCCCTTCAAGAACTGGAACTTCGTGTAAGTAGTTTGGTCATTGAGGGTACTGCTCTTAGAGGGGATTAATGCATTTCTTTTTCTCTCAGGAAGTCCCACAAGAGTAGATTGTTATTAGCAAGCCTGGCACCTCCCCAAGAATCTTTCTTGTTTCCTCTCTCACCGTATAATTTCATCCTCTTGCATATTCATCTTCTATGAGACCCTCACCAAGGCTGAATACACACTGCTGCTGCGTTCTTCAACCTCCAAAATGTTAACCTGAATTCACCTCTTTTTTTTTTATAAGATACCTAGCCTTGGACATTTTGGTATAACAACCAAAAACAAGCCCTTAACAGGAAGCAACTTAAATCCCTAACAATGGGCAGTGGAGGAGAGGATGGCCTAGAAGCCCTTCCCCTAGAATGAGAGTGATGACTACTCTCTATGCTATCCTAGAGTCCTCATCCAGTGGCTGATGGAAGCAGAGACAGACATCCACAGAAATACACTGAGCTGAAATCTGGAACCTAGTTGAAGAGAGGGAGGAATGAAGAA